GATGGTATACTTTTCCCACAAGTTGGTAAAAATAGCAAACGCAATTGTAGTTTAAATCGACGTCAAGACGGTAATAACGCTATGGCTGTTAAAAAGGGTAATGACATTGCAGCGAAAGCAAGTGTTAATAGTGTGCCAAGGTAATTTTAATTTAAAAAAGGGTAAATTTTTTTTTAAACTAAAAGGTTTTAATTTATAGTTTCAAAAAGTAAATACCCTAGATAAAAATTTATTTAATTATGTATCGTGTACTTCTCTAAAATGTTATTTATTTTGTTCTTTTGCATTTATAAATTGAATAATTTACAAACGCATCTTCATGATGCATGTATATCGCGATGATTTTATTGGTTAAAAACAAATAAATAAACTTTGAATTAGAAAATTTTGATAACGGTTCAAATCTATACATGACCAGAAATTCGATTAACTCGCTTATGGGTCGAACTCACGCTAGAATAAAAAAATACAGTTCTTTAATTACTTAGTCATCATCGTATATGAAATTAAGTCAATTATAACATAAAAAAATATCGTAAAGTCTAAATTATTGTTTACTTTTTAAAAAAATTAAGTTTTGTTCTACATGTAATTCTTTAAAAAATCATTTGATGAGGACAAGAATTATTGAACCATGTTCTACAAACTAATACTACAAATATAACGGGTTTATGTAAAATAAATAAATTTAATATGATTGTTGGAAATTAATAAAAAAATTGAAGTGTGGATAGTACCATTGTGAAATTGATATTTTTTTTAACCGTTTTTTACTAATTTAACAAAGCCCTCTTAAGTTAATAGAAGAAATAAATAAAGATAGACGAGCAAGAAACACAACAATCACATGCGTATCGTTAATAGACGGAATATTTTAAAGATTGCGTCGGAGGTACCGTACTTGCGACTTTTTCGAGTCAATTCCGTGCTATATTTTATAAAAGCAAAGCATAATGTTTTTTTCATAATTAATATTTTAATTTTTTGTACAGACGTCACACCCGAGCTACTTATTTATTTACGCATTGATATTGTTATTGGGTAAACAAAAAATTTAACGATGGATTTTGAAAAAAAAAAAATACAACTGGTTATATCCGTACATTGAAACGACTATGCTTACAAGAATTTACAGAGACTAAAAATGTATTTATATTAATATGAAAGATTTTTGCATCAAGAATTGCTGTCAAATTTAAATGTAATCTAATCGCAACCAGGTTTGTTCAGTGGAGTTAATGATATCCGTCGGAGTAGACAGCTGAGTCAACTCTGCAAAAAAAGTGTAATTTTCAAATTTCAATTAAATAAAATTTCAAATTTTTAGCAGAATAGGATAACATTATGGTTACGAGTCGAACGGCTAAGTCGACTAAAAGTATGAACTTAGCTCATTATTCCAAATATTGCAAAAATCCTCCTAAATACAGCGATATATTCAACACCAGATGAATATAGAGAAGCGACTGAAAAGTTTTTGATTGAAGATCACGAGGAGTATTAGCTAACGTCAGAATGTTCAACTATTTATATTGTGTAATGAAATTTTCAATATCTTTCTTATACAAGATATTACTTTACAGAAACTTTAGCTTCTTATATAAGCAGTAACGAGATATTGACTATGTTTATATGGTAGATAAATGGTAAATATGTAGTTCCTGCATATTAATTTTGTAAAATTTTATAAAGTAAGTATAATAATTAAAAAACGCGATGTAACGAAAAATGAGCGAATGTCGATCAATTTAATTGCGTTTGAATCATGGAAAGTTCAATTTAATTAATCTCTGTTGTCAACTATTTTCCATCAGTTCATTGGATTAAATGATCGAATGGTCAGAATGATCCGAAGTGTTTATTCTCGCGGATACGCCCGAGTTAAAAGTTCGAGGGTAACAATATCAAGCAAAACATTATGAAAATATGTAAACATATGTACAGTATATGCAGGTAGTGTCACCAATATAACTGCATTCTATAAATAGGACAGTAAATAAAATTACCTTTTCGTGTTTATTTGTTTGCAAAAAAAGGGGGTAAGATGCCGATCTGCAAACAAAAACTGATCGAAGATACAAAACCAGTTATTTGTAATTAGGATATTTCGATTCGCAGAATTACCTATTTTTATTACCTATTTTTTTTTTTTTTTTTTTTTTTTTTTTAACGATACTATTAGTTATAAATGCATGCATTTTTTTACTGCAAGAAATCAATTTTTTATTTCTTCCAAAGTATTTCTCTTGTGACCAAAGTACAATAAAATGTAATCAATTAACCTTTTAATCCAATAACATTTTATTCTGTTCACAGTCAAAACAGAAGTTACCGTCAATGATAAAATGGTTTTGATTTTAAATTAGTATTAATGTTTTGCATACTATTGCAATAAGAGACGCCTCTCTAAGTTCCTCCAGACTTTCTTAGTCTTTGTAAATTCTTGTAAGCATAGTCGTTTCAATGTACGGATATAACCAGTTGTCTTTTTTTTTTCAAAGTCCATAGTTAAATTTTTTGTTTACACAATATCTATATCAATGCGTAAATAAATTTGTGGCTCAGGTGTTATGAAAAAATATTATGCTTTGCTTTTATATTATATAGCACGGAATGGTATCGAAAAAGTCGCAAGTTTTAATGTACCTCCGACGCAATCTTTAAAAAATTCTGTCTATTAGAAATTCGCATGTGATTTTTTTTTAATGCTCTCCTACCTTTATTTATTTCTTCTTTTAACTTGGTAAATTAATAAAAATCGGTTAAAAAGAATTCCAATTTTACAGAACTTTTAACTTAATTACATATACGATGATGACTTAAGTAATTAAAGAACTGTTATTTTTTTTTATTCTGGCGTGATCGAATTACTGGTCATGTATAACTTTGAACCGTTATAAAAATTTTCTAATTTAAAGTTTATTTATTTGTTTTTAACCAATGAAATCATTGCGATATACATGCATCATGAAGACGCGCTCGGAAATTATTCAATTTATAAATGTAATAAATAACATTTTAGAGAAGTACACGATACATAATTAAATAAATTTTTATCTAGAGTATTTACTTTTTGAAACTATAAATTAAAATCATTTTAGTTTAAAAAAAAATTTACCCTTTTTAAATTAAAATTATCTTGGCACACTATTAACACTTGCTTTCGCTGCAATGTCATTACCCTTTTTAACAGCCATAGCATTATTACCGTCTTGACGTCGATTTAAACTACAATTGCGTTTGCTATTTTTACCAACTTGTGGGAAAAGTATACCATC